TTATTCCATCCTCAAATTTATTGTAAAGTACTAAATCATTGGATGATAAAAATTAGGTTCACATTCTCTATATAGAACTAGTTATGAAATATATGTATCATGTTATATATTTTATATTTTTATATGTATATTAATTCGTATTATAATTTATTCTAATATATATTAGAATGTATGATATTATATATATCTTTATATGCTACATTTTTATATCTAAGATTCCCTTGTTTATGTATAAATAAAAGATTTGTTGATTGTATATAAATTATAAGTAGCAATAATTGTAGTGATAGGTTGTATTAGCATATGTATGGAAATATAAACAATTATATTCTACCATTCCATGAATGGACTAATGCTACAATATACAGATAAGTTGTTGACTGTAAAAGTTACAATGTCTCTACTCATATAAAATAATTATCAAAAGGATGTTTTTTGTAAAGTTTATTATTTCAAAGACTATAGAATCAAGGTATATATTTTACAACAACAATGGTGGATATGTTTAAATTGACGTGCAATTCAAGAAACAATTTTAAAAGACAAGGGAAAAATTACTTACATAATTGAGAATATTGGCAATGTAAATGTAATAGAAGCCATTTTTGCTTTGAATTATATTATGTTCTATATGACCATTTTAAAGATACACTGGTTGGATACTTCATGTGGACAAATTGTATGAATAAATAGAAGACGTTTCATTTTAATTGACTCAAGCAAAAGCTTGGTAATTGGAATAAAGAATAGAATAAAAGGCATTTTATCTTCCATCTAAAGTACAACAAGTGTTTTTTAGCCCTAATAAATGGATAAATTGATGGATTATCATACAACTTGAAGACAATAAACTTTCTCAGTATAAATGATGATATGAATTCATTTTAATATATTTATTCTTTGTTGCAAAATCCTTCCTAATAAATATTTTTAAAAATACTACTATAATGATAGTATACTCATAGAGAACATATGATACTGTATTTAGAATATAATAGTATAAAGTGGAAGATATATATATATATATATATATATATATATATATATAATAATGATGTTCTTTGAGAATATTGGAATGTAGAGCATTTATACATATTTGAAGTATTCTATTCTATACTACAAAGGAAAATATTAATATATAATAGGATGGACCTATTTAAAATGAAAGAATTGAGATAAATGTTGGTATTCAATTTAATGGAGGAAGTAGTGAAAGATGATTTGATGGAAATTCAAAGGCGCAGAATCTACTATTTCATGCCCTAGAATGAATAGATGCTCTTGAAATCCATGGTGCTTTATATATTGATAATATTTTTAATATATTGATGTCTATGTTATTCTATGTATATTGATATGAATGTACTACTTCTATTATCAATTAAATTTGGCTCTAGAAATAATGCTTAGCAATGAAATATATTTTTATATGAAATAAATATTTTAATGATTTATATCAGGCTAGTAAGTGAGAATATTATTTTACTATGATTATTATTCAATATTATTGTAGGCATTGTAAATAGAGCATGATACTTTATGCATTGACAAATATAATTGTTAATCAGTAGAAATTCATAATAATAGAGAATACCACCTTAGAATATTTATTATTAGCATGATATTTTAAAAATACTTTTAATATATATATATATATATATATATATATATATATATACTTCTATTTAGTACCTTCTCTTTATAATCCAAATTTATTATTTATAAAAATATTAGCATGATATTTTATATAGTCTAATATTTATATTCAATTTCATCTATATTATGCTATAATAGTAGATGATATTATCTTTAGTAATTACTTTGTTATTTTTATACCTTATATGTATTTTATAGTTTTTAAAAGATCTATAATATATATAAGTACTTTGAATAATTTTAAAGTATATATTTCATTTTTTATGTGGAGGTTTTAAATAGAAATCCAATCCATGTTATTACCTTATACATTTGTATATAGGAGAAAGCATGGTTTCTCCATAATATAATTGATTATTATAATAAAAATCATTAACACTATCAACTATCTTTAAAAAAATTATTATATTATATTTTTATTATTGTATTATTGTGTGAGCCAAATTAATGACCCTCATAAGATTAAAAATTTAAACATTCATATTAAATAATCCTTAGCATTTTGTAATCCAACAATCTCCTATTTATCTTTTTAATATAAACCTTTTATTCTTCTTCAAGCCATTCATCTATTGAAATTTATTCAGCCCTCATTTAATAGCCAAAACAACAATCTTGTATACTTAAACTAAAATTTTACTTTTAACAGCTTAATTTTTTATCTTGTAAGCTTTTCATAGATATAAAATTTGTTTCAAATAATTAAGGAATACAAAAGCTATGAGGTCTTAAAATTTTAATATTAATTCATCTATTCATTTGTGCAACTATATCCATTATTCATTCATTTTAAAGTTTTCATCCAATATTCTAAATTTATCCTTTTAATAAATTTCATTTATTCAACATTCATCTAGGGATAAGCTATGTCCATTCATCCTTCCCTATATTTATCCAACATTAATTAACATTCATTCAACTTCAATTAATTAGAGCTGATTTTTTCAAAGTAATCTCCTATTTTGTATTTTAATTTCAAATATTCATAACTAATTTATAACTTGGATATTAATTTGCTAAAACACTTTAGAAAGCTAATACAAAGAGTTACAATTGAAAAATATCAAACCTAAGTAGCAGATTCACCTTGCTTCAATAGTCCATCTCCAGTAGCCGCTATTAATCAACTTACCAAAATTATGTATTTATTTTTTAGAAATTCATAAGTAATTCATTTTTCAACCAAATTACAATTGCAAGACTGTTTCAAGATGCTAATGAGAAGGTATATACAAAAAAATATCAATTAGGATTACTATAGTTCTTTTAATTTTTAGCTTTGTCTATTTTTTTTATATTTTTGATTAAAAATAATGGCTAGAAGTTGCAAATCTAGTTATCATGATAAGAATGTGAATGCAAAGTCTAGATAATAGAAAAATTAGATGAAAGGATGAAATATGAAGGATCATATACTTTTGAAATGGTGAAAGTGAATCATGGAAGTATAAGGGAAAGATAAATGTTTTTTTCTTTGTTGAAGACATCAAGAGAATGTGTATTCAATTTGGTGAATTCTCGTGAAGTGAATATATTTCTTTGTGAATATATTTGTGATTTTTTTTTTCAATTAAATGTAAAGCTTTTTATTGAACATAATTATTTTTGTAATATTTTGGAAATTGAAGTGTTCAATCTATAAGTTGTAAGCAAAAAATTGAAGTTGAAGTAAGAAATAACAAGTCAAAGTATAAAAAGCGAATGATTAAATTAATCCTAAAATTCAAATTATAGACTCAAGGATTAATAAGTGTATTATTTGATAAAAAAAAAATATTTAAATATGTCAATAAATGCTATTCTTACTTAACTATAGTCAGTCACTACCATTGTGATTTGTGCATTCAATTATCTTGCTAAATCAAATGTTGAGTCTATTTAGTCTTTATTTGTGACCTTAAATATTTTACTATGACCAATCTGGTTCTCCCCAAAAAAATTATTTCTACTATAAAATTCCTTGGATTTTTACTTAAATGAAATTTTAGCTCTACGTTTTGGTACCACTATTAGGAAGAGTCCTAGTTGTAGGTGACTATGATGTAAAAGACCAAAATGACAAAGATTGAAAGAACTAATATGATATCAAAGTGTAATTAAAAGTAAGTATTTAATAAATTACCATGTATTTTGAATTCGTGGTAATATTAAATATTAAAAAAGAGTATTAAGATCTTAAAAGATAAAAAGAAGCTATACAAAGTGAAAAAAGATTATGAGGATAGAGCTAAAAGGAAGAAAAATGCAAAGAATTTGGCATTTGTCAACATAGATATAATTCTAAACCAAAAATCCCACCTCCTTCTCCAACTCAAAAAACTGATTTTGGTACCTTATCTTCTCCATTTGGTAAATTTCTAAAAGTTAGTATGGAAAAAGAAAACAAATTTGAAAATTCACCCCAATGGAATTGCTAAAGTATTTTTCATCCTCTAGTTTTTTGAAAAGTTTTGTTAAAAAAGAAAGTAACAAAGTATCATTGCCCCATTCACAACTTATACCTTTAATGACTATGGCAAACTCAAGACCATTAAATATTGCTTAATTTCTTTTATTTAATAGAAGATTGGAATTGAATCCTGATTTATATGTTGTCTAATATTATTCGTTTATGTGGCTAATAAAATTCCTAAAGAAGATTACATTTATACATTTGAGTTTAAATTACAGAGATCAATGAAATATCTAATGATGTTAATTATATTACAAATATAGTTGTAAATCAAGTGGATATACAAAGTATTGCTAAATTATCTAACAAAACATTTAAATCTAATATTGATGATTTTAAAAAACAAATATTACCAAAAGCACCAAAAAAATAAATTTCGATTTCTATTTTAAATTCAAATATACTTAATAAAGTACAATCACCTATGATACTTACTGAATCTCCATCAATAAATTTACCTAATCTTGATTTTATAAAATCAAAATCAAATTTTTTCAAATCAAGTAACAAAAGATGAAATTGTACAATACGATTAGTAGTTGGATTGGAATACTATAATATATTAGCTAATTTGGATAAATTATAGCCTAATATTACAATGCACCAACTTTTAACCATTTCACTCAAAAGTTATTCTTTGATAAGAAAATAAACTAAAGAAATTGAAGTTCACAATATACTTTCGTTTTGTCTTAGTTACATTAAAGTCCAGAGAGCAAGTTTTTCTGCACAAGTTGCATTTTTTAATGAAAATTCACAAATCTTCAAAAGCTCAGACACCCTGTTACCTTAATGGGTTAAAATAGGAGGCTAGGTTTTTCTATCCTGCCAAACGGCGATCTTCTGCTCCATCGCTTGAGGCTGGTGCTTCCAAAATTCGACATCCTACGACTAGTTTGGTAAAGTGATATTTTGGACGTGGTTAGGGTTCGCTTGCCTTGGGTACTGGACAGTTTTGATCTGGGTATCGAGGTGCTCCTCGAGGTTTCGATCTAGGGTTTGTTTCGTCTCCCTTGCCTCAACTCAGCAACTTCTTTCGGACGAGGGACGTGAGTTGCTGGACATCGATGCCGGTGGACACTCTGGACGTTGATATGGATAAGTTTTCTGCACATCGATGCTGGTGCGGGGGTAATCGAAGCTGGTCCGGAACGGTGATGAGGAGTTGTGTTGTGAGAGTAGCGTGGAGAGATCATCGTCTAGGGGTTTGAAGGGTCGTGTTCCTCGGATCGGGCTCTTATTGTGGATTGCCTACTGAATTGGGTCGTGGAGGAGGATGGGTGACGGTGTTGAAAATTTGGAAGAGCAGATACGTAGCGTGGAGGACCAGATAAGAAGAGTGGAACAGAAGATAGACAGAGTTGAAGAGCAGATCGACAGATGCCGTGATGATGAGGAAAGAAAGCTACTCTGGAACAGAGAAGCGCAACTCCGAGATGAGAAAGCGCAACTCCGGGCCGAGAAAGCGCAACTTAGGGAGCAAATCCTGCAAGGACGAGGTCACTCCTATCACTCGCCCATCTCCTCATCTTCATTGTCTTTTAATATTCCCGGGGGCTGCTGGATGCTTGGGCGAAGGTTATTGTCTTGGTTATGGAATTATGGTTGGCATAGTTAACTTCATTGACCTCGATTGTTCCGTAGCGGGCCCTCTGTTAGGTGTTCTGGATTGTGTTTTCCATTTTAATTTCCTTCAACGGAGACCTTCCATTGATTCGGTTCCCTCCTATTCGACGATGGTCTTGTTTGGTGGTTTCAGTCTGTAAGGAGCTCCAGTACTAGACGAATTTGGCTGGTGATTGGTTGTCTCTGAAATGTTTTGCTTCTTTTCAAGTTCCTGACCAGTTTTTGAGTTCCATCTGCGTTGCTTTATTACCAGATTCCATCGATCATTCCGGGGAATTGCTCGAGGGGTTGTTGCTCACACCTGTAATTGATCTTCCACAAGATGGAGTTGGGCTAGCACGGGTGCTGTTTCCTTCGTGGCACGGGGAACAGCACGGGCAGCTTCCTGTTGTAAATAAAACCTACCTACGAATCAAAAACCGGTTTCCTAAGGTCGCAGAGGAGTTTTTACGCGTGACAGATGCTTCGACGTTATCCGTGTCCCTGTCCAGCACCTTGGAGGAAGCAACTATCGCTCCAAAATCGGAGGCAGATGTTTCATATACAGTTCAAGGCTACTTAAGGAGGTTTTTCAGCGCTTGTAATGAGTATAGCTTGGACGGTGCTACCCTGGATTTGACTTTCAATAAAAGTGAAAAGCTATCACTGTCGAGATCGAATGCAACACTATCACGCAAGAGGCCTGATACGCTCGGTGTAATGTCTCAGTGCACATTTCTTGTCGGTGAAGACAAGCTATCCGACTTGTCAGAAGCGGAAAACGACATTTCTCTTAAAATGCAGCCACTTAACCCAAGATTTTATGGAGACCTGCGGTTCATTTTGGGGTATATAGCAGCCGGTACCAAATTTCAATGGGTCCTTCTTGGAAAGGATAGGTCTCTGGTACGCATTGAACCACTTCTTGACCTGGCAAAGATACCCAACCGAATCTTGTTGATCCTGAGTATTTTCAACGCCTTTACTTTAGTGAGGAAAATGGCGGAGAAAATCCCTCCCCTTCCAGGGCGCCATGCGATGTTTTCGTCGCTTGTGCAGGGAGATTGCACCATCTACTTCTTGAATGACAGTGTCCGTAAGAAGATAAAGAATTTTAAAAGTTACTGCGAAGCTACTGCAACTGATTTTAATGTCGTTAATCGAGCCTACAATGATGTGAAAGGGAGCCCGTATCTTCCGATGGTAATTGAAGAGCCCGAGTTAGGACGAGGAGGAGATAGCTACAAGGTTACAATTGGTCCTCTTGGATACTCTCCTAGGATCAGGTCTGAGGAGGATACCAAGATGTTGGCCAAGAGTGTGTGCAACGCCTTGAAAGTCCTCCATGAGAAGGGCTTTGTTCACAGGGATGTTCGACTTCCAAATATAGTGGAGGTTACATATGGGCAGTTCATGCTGATCGATTTGGAGACGGTTGCAGAATCTCCTTTCTATGTGCATCCCTCGTTCCACTACCTGGCGGACTGGAGCAGGGACATGTTGGAGAACTCGCACTATACGCCCAAGTCCGACATGTATCAGCTTGGGAAACTCCTTGGCGACAAATTTGCAACCTTCACTCGGTCACCTTCTGCCCAGCAGTTTATTTCCAGGCTCATGTCCAAACAGGTCGATGCAAATACGGCATTGGAGGACCCTTGGCTAAAAGTCGATGAAGAAATGTCAGGTTTGTCCTCGATCATCTCTTACATTTAGGCGTGTAAGTTTATTCTCTCACCATTTGGGTTGAGCAGCGTGTGGAGCTTTGCAAAGTGCATGAGATTTCAGAAAAGTGGATCGAAGGAAGGCTTACGATTTCCTGATGGTTATTAGGAGCTTTGATGTTCAAAGCTAAATGCTAAGCTCCACTGAAGAGTTGGGTGGAATGTATTATACGTTGCTGATGGAGTTATGTTCTTTTTGCAGGTATGTAATGAAAGTTTTAGTATAATTTGCGTTGTAGGCTTCAGTACAGAAGAAGAATACCCCCTTCGTGGGGTTTTGAATTCCTTAATTTTGACAAGAATTGACCCTTTCACATCTTTAGATTAGAGGAATGAGCTGCAATTGAGGGTCTAGGTTGCTGCAGAGAGATTGCTACTGGGGATTCTTTTCTTCAGTGGAGGTTACTTGTAAGGTGATGTACAGTTTGGATTACTCTGGAGGGTCAGTATGATATCTATCCCACTGTGTCTGTATTTGCTGAGGTTACCGGCATACAGTGCACGGATGTGCATCTATGAAGCTTGAAGGTTTTGGTTACCTCCAAGCCTGCATCCTTTTGTTGCATTTGCAAAATACAAAGAAAGTAGTTGGTGGATATTGACTTTGTAGTAGTTTGGACATTCTAAACCTTAAAGGCATCGAAATTTCATTAGGAGGCCCTTTTGATACTAAAGATATTTCTAGTGATATTTTTTTGAAGGATTTCAAGTTAAAATTGGAAGCATTCTAACAAGAGATTCAAGGAGATGATCATTATGCACCATCTATTTGGGTTAGAAGTGCTTTGACTTTTGTTTGTCAAACAATGGGATGGAGCGGCAAATATATGGAAAGCCAATTATGAGAGGAAAGGAATTGAAGGAGTGCTGAAGCATGCCGAAAAGCTTTAGGAGAAGAGGTATAGTTTCAATATGATAGTTGGGAGCAAGATAGATAAGAAATCCGTGCTTTAATTATGGATTTTTTCAAAAATGTACAATGGTTTGTGCATGGTAGGACAAAGAATGTGGATATATATATCTATTCATGCTTAAGAAAGTAAGGAGAGGCACATGGTGGAAGAAAGATGGTATATACGAAGATCGTGATGGTGTAGCATGCTATTTCATCCAACAATTTCGGCGTCATTGATGACATGTAGTTATTAGGATTTAGATGTTATTAGCATATATTAAATCACTATATCTAATCAGCTCTACAAAATACTATTGAATTTTCAATTTGGACAAAGTTTGAGTAAAGTTCTACATTACAAAAGTGTGACAAATTTGAATGCTAAGTTGTAAACTTCTAAATGAATCTTCAAAACTGTAAAAACTAAATCCATAGAGTTACTTCAATTAACCTCCATTGCATGCTCTAGAGTATAGTAAAAGCATTCTAAAATGCTATTGCTCTCTTTAATCCTATTGAGATCATTAAATGTAGTCGATGCTCTCCATAATATTTACTGTAGACTACAGTAATTACTGTAGCTACAGTATTTAGAGTCTAGTAGAGAAGTACTGTTCATCCTCTTATCTTCTCTCTTCTTGTGTACGAGTCACAACCAGATTAATAGATTTTTGTATGTGTGAAGCTCTCTCTCCTTAGAAACCCTCTTGTGTGTATGACTTATTACTATTCTTGTGTGTGTATGACTTACTACTACTCGTGTGTGTGTATGACTTACTATTACTCTTATGTCTTTCTAAACATTCTCAACACGTTATCAGCACGATTCTCTTCTACATACTATCAATTTTTTTTTTACTCTAGTCTTTGACTCTTCAAACCTGTTGCTACCCTTGTTTAGTGTCTGGGTCATGATCTTGTTCTTCTTGCTGGCCCTTCACACATTAGCTTCTTGCTTAGAGCACTTGTTCCACTCTCTACCTTGCTTGCTCTGAATACTTGATCCAGTCCAATTCCACCCTTTGCTTGCTACTTGCTCCCTGCTGTGTCCCAAACAGACGCCGAACTGTCGCCAAATAGATGCCGAATCCACCGCTGCCACCCTATTACCGCTGTCGCTGCCGCCCGTCGCCGTCGCCGCCACCATTGCCACTGTTCGCTGTTGTCCGCCGCTGTCTGCCGTTGCAGCCCACCATTGCCCGCCGTTACCAGCCGCTGCTGTCCGTCGTTGCCCGCCGCTGCCTGCCAGTGCCACCCTGCCACCCTACCACTACCTGCTGCTGCCATTTTATTGCTGTTCTGCTGTCTTAATCTACAACTCTTTCTCTCTAAAAATTTATATATATATATATATATATATATATTTTAGTTTTTTCAAGTTCAAGTTTATCATTTTATTTGACTTTATATTTTAAGGTACGTTTTACTCAACTTTTTTACTTGATCTTGTATTTTCTTTACAGATTTATTTATAATGAGTGCTTCAATATCTTCAATTGCTTCTACTATGGTTCCTACTATTACCAGTGCATCCCAACATTTTCAAGTTCTTTTATTTCCACCATTGACTGTGGATAGAAATAATTATCTATTATGGGCAAAAATGGCAAAAGCAAATTTATTTGTAGAACAACTATCGGATGCCATTATATTTGAAGAATCTCCTACAACAAGTATTTCTATATCTCCTGCTATTCGTTGGAAAGCACTTCTTCTCCTTCGTCGTCATCTTGTACCCGCATTACAACATCAATATTTGGAAATGGAAGACCCTGCAGAACTTTGGAAGAATCTTAAATCTAGGTTTGATCATCAAAAGACCATTTTTATTCCACGTGCACATCATAATTAGACACATTTATGTGTCTTGGATTTTCCAAATTTAAATGCTTTCAATAGTTAAATGTATAGTATTATCTCACAATTACGATTATCTGGACAAAGCATTTCTGAAGAAGAAATGATTGAGAAAACTCTCTCTACATTTCCTCTTGCATCTACTGTGCTTGCACAACAATACAGGAACATGAAATTTTAGAGTCATTCTGATCTCATGTCCTATCTACTTCTTGCGGTGAAGCAAAATGAGCTACTCTTGCGCAATGCAGAAGCTCGTCCTATTAGAACTACAGTTCCTGAATCTCATGCACTTAATATTTCAAAGTTTAAGAATAAATTATATAAACATGGGAAACGTGCTCATAAGTATCAGGGTATTCATAGTCAAGACCATTTCTATCCACATGGAAAGAATAAACATTCTACTATTAATTATAGTAGAAAACAAAAAACAGAGATGCATTCTTGCCATAAGTGTGGAATGATTGGACATTTAGCACACGCGTGCCGTACTTCAGAATATTTTATTAAAATATTCCAAGAAAATAAGAAATTACGAGCTAAGGCTCGTGAAGTTCATACCATGGATGCACCCATGGATTCAATTGGTGTTGATGACTTAGAGGCTTATATGACTGATAGAACCTCTAATGATGAATCAAATGATATGCTCATTGATTCTGCAACGACACATACTATCTTGCGAGATATATGATTTTTTATTGAAAAATCTTCAACTTGGCAAACTAAAAATATGATGACCATGGCTGGAGCAAATGCATTTTGTTTCCAAGAGGGCACAACGATGGTAGAATTACCTGCGGGTTCCATCATAAAATGTAAACATACGATGTTTGTACCCTCAGCACCTCAGAGTCTGATCAGCTACCAAGATATGCGTATTAATGGTTATCACCTCTCGATCGCCACTTTAAATAGAAAAGAAGTTTTGGTTCTTATAAAGAACCATAAAGTTGTTGAAAAAGCTTTTGCTACAAAAAATAGTTTATATGGAATTGTGATTCGGCCTTCCATTATATTTAATTTTGCATCACCTATCTCAGAGAGTCATGTTTCTCTCTGGCATGGATAATTGGGACATCCAGGATCCATATTATTTAGAAAGATCATTCCATGTATAACTGGGCACAATTTAAAGCTTGCAGATGTAGACTCTATGGAATTATGTCGTGCATGCGTGCAAGGTGAAATGATTATTCGGCCTTCAATTTGGAAACTTCCACAAGAATTACCACCAATGCTTAAAAGATTGCATGGTGATATTTGTGGTCCTATTAATCCAATATCAAGACCATTTCGTTATTTTTTGGTCCTTGTTGATGCATCAGATAAACAATCATATGTTTCATTATTATCAACTTGAAACATGGTGTTTTCCAATCTTATATCTATGCTTATTGGCTTTCGGGCCCATTTTCTTGATTATCCTATAAAAACATTGCATATAGATAATGGAAAAGAATTTGCATCAAAGTCTTTTGAAGACTATTGTACTGAAATAGGAATCGAGTTGACATATTATATTCTATATGAACATGCTTAAAATGGACTTGTAGAGTCATTTATAAAGCGTATACAACTCATTACGCGGCCACTCCTCCTTCACGTAAATCTACCTACATCTATGTGGAGTCATGCAGTTTTACTTGCTGCAGCATTAATATGCCTCCGTCCTTCTTCTCTTGAAACTGTTTCATCACATGAGCTCATTTCGGGTCGTATTCTAAATGTATCTCACTTACGAGTATTTGGTTTCCGTGCTTGGATTCCAATACCAGAACCTCAACGGCGTACCATTGGAGTTCATCGACAAGAAGGCATATATGTTGGTTTTGATTCATCAAGCATTATTCATATTGTTGATCCATCAACTGGCACATTATTTTGTGCACGTTTACAAAATTATCGTTTTGAAGAAACTGTATTCCCATCTCTTCTAGGAGGAGTATCCAATCAACAAAGAAATAAAGTACTCATATTTGAATCACCAGAAACGTTTATAATGAATCTTGATCCTAGGACATCTTTGGCAGAAACTGAAGTTGCTAAGATTTTGCATTTAAAACGGATCACAGATGAAACACCTGATGGCTTCAATGATGTACTTAGAATTACAAGAGTTCCTATTAATGAGGCTCAGAATGCACATGCTCAGATTGCAGTGCCATTGACTACAATACCTCAAGTTATAACAACAACAACTAAAAAAACTCGTGGACCAGATAAGCAACCACGTAAGAAGAAAGCTATAAAATTAACTAATCCTGATATTATTTCTCAAGAAATTGCCACTCATCTTGTAAGACTACTAATTCATGATGATATATCCATACATAATGTACCTTCAATTCCTATGAAAAATAATCTTGGAATTGGAAGGAATAAAAAAAAGTTGAGTAAAGAATTATCTATTCTGTATTGTTCTACAGATGATATTTGGGACAGACCATCTATTACGGTAGATGAATCATTTGCATATATAATTATAGAAGCCCTTTCTTGCAAAAAAGACGATCTTGAACCTCAAACCATCGAAGAGGCAATGCGTCACTCTGATTGGTCAAAATAGAAAACTGCTATTGAAGAAGAGTATGCCTCTTTGCATTAGAGGAAAGTCTTTGGTCCAATTGTAGACACTCTTACATCTCGCCCTGTGGGATATAAAATGGTATTAATATACGAGCGAGATGCTTAAGGCCAAATAACCTGCTATAAAGCTCGTCTTGTTGCTCAATGTCACGGACACAGAAATATAGACTCGAGATTTAACAAGAAGTTCAAAAAGAACTAGCAAGAATTAGATTAATCAGATGAATACAAGAACAAGACTAGAGAGGTGAGCTAGAGCTCCAAGAGATGTGTTGTCGAGACTGAAGAACTCTTCAGCCTCGATTCCAATATATATTCCTATTTAGGAAGCTTC